GTTCAGGATGCAGAACCATGTCTTGTTTGCATTCAATACTGGATCTTCCTTTGTCTTGCTTCTAATCACTTTTGGCGAATGAGGCCTTATTAACTCCTTCCCTTTGATACGTTCTTTTAGTTTCACATTCTGCTTAATCGATATTACTTTTTCCATTTGCCACAGTGTCCTTTCCAGGTTTTCTACAATTGATGGAAGATCTTTGCTCTTTTCTGGTGTTGAAAGTTGTATTAATTCATATAGTACAGTTGCCAATGGGATGTTCTATGATTTCCGAATTTTTGTTCAAATCATTATCACTGAGTAATTTTCAGGAGTAATGGCATATCAGAAATAGCTACCATAGCACTTCCAATCAAATACCCGATGAGATACGATAGTTTTTTATTGCAGGAATGTTTTGATCATCCATTGCAATTTGAAAATTTGCATAGAAGGCAAGTCACACTAGAGGTTTACCAGAGAATTTTTGCAGTCCAGTTTATGTACTTTAATGCATCAAACTTCATCTGATGTAGAGAGTGAAGCAAGAGTAATGGAGTCCGAGCTCTTTTTTTTTTTGTCAAAACGCAGCAAAACTCTCGTAATTCTCGTCTCCTCTAACATTTCTTTTGCATCTCCACCATTGCTGACGTATCTCTGTCTTTTCCATCATTTCAACATTTCAACTATCTGTGACCACCTGTAAGCATCTGTAATCACCTACAACTTCAACGTAGCATGGTCGTAGAATGATTAAAATGAACGTATAAACTAAATTCTCACCATTGCATCGCCTATTTCGATTATATTACATTATTATCTTGCATATTATCGTGTTCATTATCTTGTTCCGAAATGCTGCTTCAATTCACATTAGCCAAGCCTGAGCTGTCTTTACAAATGAATGCAAAACACTGTAAGGACTTAACGCGCAATATTCTAATTTTTTTCAATTGTCCCCCCATTCATTACTGTTTCATAATGATGGAATGGTGAAAGCTTCCAAGTAAATGAAGATGCATTGTGTAAATGTGCTTTGGACCGGGTGTTTGCATAACCATTCATGACCTTTTCGATGTGACTAGAAACTAGAAAAGTTTTTGGGATTACTGATGGGACAGGTTTCATTATTTCTTTTTTTTTGATTGCTTTATAATTTATGATGAATTATTCCAGTGTCGTTTGTCACATTCTGGTTCAGTTTCATTTTTATTTTTGTTCAATGATTACAGTGTTTAATGGCTTCAACTATTTTTTTGATGCTTTTTTTAGTCGTGCAAGTATTAACTGTTCAAAAATAGAATTAGAAGAAAGTATTAACATTGAAGGACAACAGTACAAGGGCGAATGAACAATAACAGACTACGATATTTTCGCTCAGAATTCATTCATATCCTGAAGGGACATTTGTATCCTGAAATATATCCTGAATTTATATCCTGAAGTATATCCTGAATTTATATCCTGAAGTGAGGAGAGAGAGACCTTTGCGCAACTTTCATCTTTCTTACCGGTTGAGGATTTGAGCTGTCTTTACCGATTAATGCTCTTTAAGCGCTGTAAAGTATTTGGGAAAAGTGGAAAATTCTGGTGATTTTGTGATGCAAACACTGTAATTCAGAGAGGAATGATCGTTTGTTCTGTTGAACTAATGGCTGTTTAATAATACCTAGAACTAAGTGCTTTATTAGGGACCTTATAAGGTATGCAATCAGTTGATTGTCAGTCGTACTGTATGTAAGATTCCGCTGTCTGTTCCGGAGAAATAGTTCCAACCTCTATCGTGTTTAATGGGGTTTCATTCCACACGTATTTGGAGGAATGAAGCGGTTCCGACCATCTTTTCCCATATTCACTCTGAAAAGGGGAAAGAATCGTTCAATATTTCAGTTGTTTTACTTGCTTTGTTTGATGGCCATAAATTTGATTTTTTTTTCCAGTAGCTGATAGTGAAATGAGTTTTTTGAAAAATTACTAATAAACTCAAATTGTAAAATTTACCATAATAACATCCAGAGCGTTGCATGGTACGTACATCAGGTAGCCGAGGAGATCAGTTGCGCAAATTCGATTTATTAGCGGATAAATAAACCTCAAAACTTATCAAACCTTAATATGCGTAATATTTCTTGCGACAAATTATCGAACCATCCGGGTGAGAGTCGAAATAAGAGTTATTAAATACTTGCCTGTACATAGTCATAAAAGATAAACCTCCAGTCCAGGAACTATTTTGATCATGATATAGGAAGAAAATGTCCATTGGAATACTGTCCTCTATATACACTTTGTATTCCAGTAGATCCTCCGGCTAAAAAAATCCAAAACTGGAATGGAGTAAAATGGATCAATACGCAATATAAACCCCTTTTTTTAATACATGTATTACATGGAAATTCTTATGAACCAACTAATTCATTATTTATTTGTCCTTTTCTTACTGATACGAACGCTGCGCTGTAACTCACTCTGTTGAATCGCAGACTAAGTTTGATAAACGAACTATTCATAACATCTTCAGGAAATTTGTTATAGTATTCCTCGATGAAGAACATAAAGTCGATATCGTGTGTATATGGTATAATACCGCATTCTCGATACCAACCTAAATTTAAATTTTTATATGAATAAAACTTTATTGTGAAATTAACGGAATAATGTAACGAAAGAAACTGTTCATATAATTTTTCGAGAATGTTTCCTTGCGAGTAGTTTCCATCAACTACAGTAGGCTTTACAAAGCCGAATCTCCTATGGATAAACTAAAATCCAAGGCAACATTTAAAAAGCTTTGTGGACGGAAAGGTTGACGAAAGGAAGGGTGATATTAAGATTACATGAGGAAAAATTCTCTGCACACAATTTTCACATAGATAGTAGGGATCATGAACACAAGAAACATTTAGCGCCAGTGAATAGCTCCAGTAGTTTCTAGATGTACGCAGACGGAAATGAACTGTCGTAAGAGATGACCCATCTGTCAGTTGGAATAAACAGTCATTTGTGTTTTGCTCTTTATGAAAATATAAATTTGTACTAGAAACAGTAATACCAAGCAGTGTGCCAGCATAGAGTATTGGTGTCATACCACGCTCAATAGCCCAATTGCGGAATCTCTGAAGTGTCAGTATGACTTCATTTCGAATCCGAGGTTTTCCTCTGAAGTATAGGGGATAGGCTTTACGATAGGGAATTGCGAAATCTTCCCTACAACTGATAAATCTACTGCGCTGTAAAACCCATGCAAATGTGGTCCAGTTTGCCGGACCTACGAGAGTCTCATTCTGTATCTCATAATTCGTTACAGCAAACCTGAAATTCAACCCTGCATTAAGATGTCCAGTGATCGTGCTGTTAATATACAGATGTTATTATATGCATAGAGAATACTGTAAATTTAGATTGATCTTGGAGAACTAGCTAAAAACTATTTGAGAATGGTCGAATGATTTACTTCGGTATAATTCTTCTAACTTTTCGCAAAACGAATTCGATGTAATCATCGGTTTTTGATAAACTGAACGATATCAGTCGGTGGGAAATTCCATGAAATATTACTTCAAAATTTTGATCAATGTGTTTTTTCCATGACAAATTATGATTTATCAATAAATTTAGCTGAAAAGAGAAAAACGATACACATAATGTGAGGTAAATTATTTAAAATACAGTTAGGCTGCTTGGAAAATAAGTAATCCAGGCCATCTTATAGATGAATACAAA